CCCCAAAACCCCAAAACCCCAAAACCCCTCTTCTCTAAATATTTGTTGGCTTTTATAAATATTAGTTAGATCTTTTGAAAAATGGAGGAAACTGAAGGCAATAACCTCAAAATTTACGAGGAGAAGATATACCAACTCCAGAAGGAAGTACAAGAGGCCCTAGATGCTAAGGACAAGCAGAATGAATCGCTTAGGGAAACTATTAGTACTCAGAAGGAAAAGATCAAAGGGTGTTTATCCCAGATCAAGTCATTGGAAAATCTGAAGAATGCTTATGAGAAGGAAATCAGTTCTTCTCGCAAGACAAGGTCCAAACAAGCAGATTCTAGCCAAAAGATAGTATCTCCACTTGACGAAGTCAGAGTTTTGTCTACTGAGATCGGTAAAATAAACACTTAATTCCTTTAGAAATCAAGAATGCTAAAATAAAGATTCTTGAAGAAGAAAATAGAGAGCTCAAGGGAAATGACCGATCAGGACTAATCACTCAGCAAATTACTAAGGTGAATGAGAAGGTGCAAGGAGTTAAGCAGAATTATCAAAATTTACGTCAGGAGAATTCTTCTCTAAAAGACCAGATTCTACGAAGCAAGGTCAAAATGGATTCTATCATCCTCCAAAATGTAAGATTTCCCTAATCCTGTAGCAAAAATTATTGGAAGAGAATGAGGATGCACAGAAGTTGATCAATGTCAATGAGAAGTTACAGGAAGAAATCAAGCAGAATGATAACACAATGATCATCAAAGGTATAAACATACAGTTAATTTTAGAAAACCAGAATTTACTCAACCAAATAGAAACCCTACAGAGTGAGAAGTTGAACATGGAAGTGACAATCAAAGAGATGCAGCAAAACCAAGAACAATTTAAGCAAGAAAAGGCTCAATTAGCTAAAGATAAAGAGGAATTTGAGAAAAATAAGCAATCTCTCGAAGATCAAGTTAAAAATGCACGGGAGGAATTATCAGCCATGAAACAGAAATTCCAGCAGAGGCTTGCACAGGAAGAAGAGAGATATAACGCTCTTCAGAAGAAATACACAAAAGAGATTGCTGAATATAAGCTAGAGAAGGAGACAGCCCAGTTAGAAATCCCCAAACTTGAGCCCTTTACAGTGGCTAATAAAGGTATGCCTTAGCCTTTGTAATACATTTTAGATGATTACCAGCTGAAGTTACTTCTCCTGAAGGAAAAAGAGAATACAGAAAAGGCAAACACACTTGCAAAATGCTTAAAGGATGAACTTGAGCACTCCATGTTTGAAAATCAGAGACTGAAAGATACCCTACAAAAGGAAAGAGAGAAATTATATAACCAGAATAAGAAAGGAGATGTAGACAAAGATCTTAAATCTGAGACTCCTAAGGCTGCTTCAAGACTTGGAAAGACCAAAACTCTCCGTTTTGATGAAACAGTTAGTATCATTCAGGAAGAATCCAAGGTAGATAAGGAAGACACCAATTTGGTAAAGAAGGATGCTGGCAGGAAGAAGACTCCATCTGAGCTTCTGCAGGAGACTCTCAAGAATATGGATGAGGAATTTGATCCTGAAGAACTCCCTATTGAGGAATATGCTGAAAGCATATGCTCAAATAAGAGACTCTCAAGGGATATCAGAGAGACACTCCAGATCTTGCTCAAGCGAGAAAAGAAAGAAATTGAAATGATCAAAGAAAAAACAGAGATCGACACAAGAGCACTTAGACAAGGCAAAGTCAGAGATGGTGATGATGAAATCATGGAAGATGAGAATGGGGAAATCAAGTTTTTAGAGGAGAGAGTGGCTAGCTTGACTGAGTTAAAGGATTTACTTCAAACCCAACTTGAGGAAGAGTACGAAGCGAATAGAACCCTTAGAAAACAGAATAAGGAACTTTCAGATGAACTTATAGAGCAAAAAGAGAAGCTTATTGCTAAAATTGAGGATGAAGGAAAGTCTTCCTTACTAGCATCTTTAAATGTCCATCTCTCTCAAGCGCTTGAAGCTTTATTATCAAGCTGCTATTCTCATATTAGATCCAGGTCAGACTTGGTTACATCATTCTCAAACACAGCAAAAGGTAAGATTTTTCTAACTCTCTACAGAGGTTTTGGATAGCACTCTAGTAACTAATACTAAAATGCAGGAAGATAGGAAATCATACCAACAGCACATAGAAGAGCTTGAGAAAGAAGTTGATGCAAAGGAAGCTCTCCTGTCTGAATCTGATCAAACCATCCTTAAGGCTCAATTAAAGAAAGAAAATTCACAACAAGTACAAGAAATTATTCTTCGTGAGATGCAATATTACAATACATTCGTGAAGAAGGTAAAATCCCTTATCACTGGAGAGGACTTTGAGACCATCAGTAATGTTCCTGTTGGTGCACTGGATATTGTCTTAGCACAATTAGAGCAGGTTCTACCAATACATGACTCTGGGGATGAGGAGATGACTCCTGAAGAGCACACTGCCACTCAAAAGGTTGAGTTTCCAAAAGAAGCTTTCAGCGAATACATTGGTAATTACAACAAGATTCTTGACAAAAAGAATCAGTCCATCAAAGACCTCCAAGGTGAAATCGAGAAAGCTAAGATTGAAGGCCAAAAAGAGACCAACCAGAAGTACGAACAAGAGATTAAATCTCTGAAGGAAAAGGCTCAAAAAGCAGGCATGAGTGAAGAAGAAGCCAAGATGATGAAGAAACTAAAGACTGATAACATCATACTTTTCAAGAAGAATAAAACTCTTAATTCTGTCATGGAGAGTAATAAACAACTCACAGAGCAAAATAAAGGGCTTCAGGAAAAGGTAGAACAAATTCAGAAGGAAGGTAAAATGTGTGTATAAAACTACAGCTAGTCAGAAACAAATTGAGAAGAAAGAGCAAGTTGTCTTAGAACCTAACAAACTCAAGACCTTGGAGGCAGACCTTGAGGAGCAGCTTAAACTGAATGAAGAGCTGAAGCAAGAGCTGAATAAAAGAAAGGACACTCATAAATCAGCTAATGCTATGAAGAATCTTAGTAATGCTGAAGTTAATGTTTCTATAGTCAAAGCTCTTAACTTGATCAAGAGGTGTAAGAAGATACTTCATATTGTTAGCAGTAAAGAATCTAAAGAAGTTGCTGTCAAAGAGAAACTAAATCTTCCTGTAGAAGAGGTCAAGCAAATTCCTGAGAAGGAGACTACACCTGTAAATAAAAAGTCGGAGACTCAAGTTGCCGGAAAGACAGAGGTTCAAATTCTAAAAAAGTCTATAGCTGGGATCCCTGAAGAGCTTGCAGCTGAGATCCCCAAAAAGCTTGTAGCTGAAGTCCCTGAAAAGCTTGCAGCTGAAATCCCTGAAAAGCCAGAGACTGAGATTCCAGACAATGTCATAGAAGAAGTAGTAGAAAACATAGTTGATCAAACTCCAGAGAAAGGTGCTAGCCCACCAGAAGAAGATTCTAATATGCGCCAAGTGATTAGATGCATTCAAACCAGCACTCCTGTTAAGGAAGTGACAAAGCCGACTAACCCTTCTAAGCCATTGAAGCCATCAAAGCCATTACTCAAGAAGAGAGTCTCCAAAGCATCGTCCAAAGCTTCAGAGGGAAAGTCTAAGCTACAGAAAACAGAGGAATAATTACGTTCAAATCCACAAGAGAATAATTATTCATTTTGGGAATATTTGTAAGGGGTTTTGGGGTTTTGGGGTTTTGGGGTTTTGGGG